GGGTGGCTGCGGAGTGCAGCCGGGCAGACGGTTAGGCGCGGGCGGGCAGCGAGCTCAGGTAAGCGTCCCGCGAAGCCCAGCTTCAGCCGCCGACTGAAACGTCACTAGTTGTCTTTTGCTGCTGCAGACGCACACCTTGCGTTTTGTGTGTGTTACATACGTACGTACGCCTGCAGTCTCCTGCGCTGGGTTGAGCTGCTCCTGATTGCAGTCCAAAGATGATCTTTAAAGAACGTCAAACAAAATATGATAGTATTGTGAACCTAAAATCCTGTAGGAAAGGAGTGACAGAGCGGATTAAAATCTTCTATCGTTTCAGCGTGGATGGCTGGATGCTCATGTTGTGTTTGTGTGTCATCAAAAGGACAGACTAACTCCCCAGGAAATTGCTGTAGCATGTGAGCATGAATGATAGTCCTACTTGGTCTTTTGGAAGACCGTAGAGTCATGGCAAGCCAAGAGAACAGCCATGGCAACATGCCACATGTAATGCAAAGAACTATATCTATCTAAGAACTATTATCTGTTCTAAATTAACAGAGCCACAAAAAGTTCTAAATTACACAGCAAAGCTGTGACTTAGTCAGAGCAGTCATAGTGGAGCACTAACGGCCTTGCCAGGATTTGGAGAAGCTCAGACTTAGGAATGCACAAAAATGGTATTTAATTACCCTTGGTCCTTTACGCTGCACTGTCTGTGCCTTGCTTCCTGAAAAAAGGCACCCCCCCCAAATTTACCCTGGTAAGACACCTGTATTTCTTTTAAAAGTCTCTTATGGTCTGGGAAGTCTAGGAACGTGTCCCCCTTTGTGCCACTTACTTGTTCTGTGTGCTTGGGCAAGTCATTTCATCTGCTGATCTGTGTAAAAATTGATTCCTTCCGACTGAACCTCCGAGGGTTTAAATAAAATGGATGAAGGCTGTAAAGAGGTCTGACATAGCACAGACTTGATTCGAGTGCCTTAGGACCAACCTGCGCGGTAGCTGGTAACTGTCCCCCTTTCGCAGGGCATTTGTGTTGCTTTCCCAAGGCAGCACAGCAGATAAACGGCCCTGCTAGAAGGCCGCTCTCTCCCCAAACGCAGATACAGTTGATTCAGAGCAAGTGGTGCCGGAGGGACGAGCTGAGGTCAGCCGGACCCGACCCGTTTTTGGAGAGGCAGCTCGTCTAACCGACTCCTGACGGTGGGTGTTCAAACGGGCCGGGGTGCGGGCGCTCCCCGCCCACAGACTGCTGCCCACCGGGGCTTACGGCGGTAA